CAACTACACAGTGCTACAAACAACTACACACACAACTAAACAGTGCTACACACACTACACACACAACTACACAGTGCTACAAACAACTACACACAAAACATGATGCTACACACAACTACACAGTGCAACTCACAACTATAACCACAACTACACAACTACACATTGCTGCACACAGCTAGACACTGTTGCACACAACTACAAGTCACTAAACAAGTGACTCACACCTCTGCTGCTGGCCCAGTGGGACGTGTCTGTGTACAACCTCCATCCATCAGCAGACAGAGGTGTGTGTGTGTCTCCTCCTCACGCTGCCACCAGCTCCTCACACAGCAGAGGCACAAACCTGTGTTTTAAAGACGTCCTGGTGGTGAGCTGCTGCTCCAGCTGGCTCTGCTTATGTACGAGTGCAGCTGATGACCGCTGGCAATTTACAGTGAGTCACTGCAGAAGCTGATGTCAGGAGAAACAAATAAAAGCAAGTTTAACTACAGCTGCACTCATCCACCTCCGCCAAGGAGGTTATGTTTTCATCCTTTTCTGTTTGTACACAGGATTACGCAAGAACTGCTGAATACATTCTGGATCCATTTAAAAATTCTTTTTCACTTTCTTTAATTGCGAGATTGGACGTTTTTCACCATTTTCCCTGTTTCCCCGGGGAATAATTCATGGATCTTGATAAAGAAAAAATTACAGGCACATTAGGGAAGTGATATTTTTAAGTGTGTACGATCTAGTGCAGCCTGATTCGATTTAAAGGAACTGTTAGTGGAGGTATGTGCTCTGCTGAGTACCACTTCTTTGTGCCTCTTGTTTTCCACAACATAGTTATAAAGTGATAGAATGTTCATCGCATTTTATTTAATTTCTTTCATTTTGAATTCATCCAATATTAATCACATTTATCCAACTTTTATATGTATAGCCCATATTTAGAAATTACAATTTGCCTCATAAGTGCAGTATAACCAGCTTATCATGTGAAATAGCAATAATCAGTTGTTTGCCAAGATGCTAGCATAACAACTTTATTAGGTGATAATTTGTCAGTCATGTGTGCCTGTGTGTGTTGAGCCATGTGTCTGAGCAAAAACAAGTTCACTTCATAATAAAAATCACATTTACACAAACACATCTGGAAAGTTTATTAACCACAATCATCCGACTCACATTGAACAGAGCTCACAAACAATCACGAGTTGTTTCAACTGAAAAAAGAAAGAAAACAGAGGATTGTAAAGAACTTCAGCTGCTGTGGCCAAACACAGAGCTGCTGCCGAGGGAGCTTCAGCCGCTGGTTCTTGTCTACATGAAAAATAACTGCGTTCCACTGATGCTCGTCTGTTGTTGGTCCTGATGTTCACGCTGCGTGAACACATAACTCATGCAAGACAAAAAAAAACGGGTAAGATCCACAGAAAGAGTAGTCTAAATGTGCTGCTGTGTGATTGGCCAGACACAGAGAAAGACGTCTTCACAGAGAAAGCAAACACACAAGAAAAGCAGGTCTGAAGGAATCAGTCCTCACATCAGTGATGGACAAATAAATAATACATTGCAGGATCAGTAACATTCAAGGAGCCTGTGGAGAACTCTGCAAAAAAATTTAAATGGCAAAGTGGCCTTGATGAAAATGTGTTTATAAAATTATGATGAAAACCTTCATCCTCTGAGAAATGGTTATTTACAGTAGCTTGGTATGAACTGTTTATCAACTGATGTTGTCCAAAAACTGAAAATTTAAAAAATAAAGCCTCAAATAAATACAAGATTTTGCACAAGGGAATAACATTACAACAGAAGAGAGATTTTTCCATTTGGTCGGAGTGTCTGCACAAAATCAAAACATGCCACGTTTGAATCTCAGAGAGCAACGCTGGCCTAAAGATTTACAAGATTACAATCAGTAGCTTTATAAAGTGACATTTATCATGACCATACAGTGATGGCTTTTGAGACTATATAATGATACGAGCTATTAATACAGGAGTGGGTAGTAGGGCTCCCTTACATGGGCTCACACGAGAAGATAAATTACAAAAAGAAGACCTGAAATCCAGGGATTGTAATAAAACCAAGAGTTTATATCCTGCACCCAAAAGCAATGAGGTTTTGATTGTGTACTGCAATATTTCTTATCACTGCGAGGAACAAGAAACTCTCTATATCCTCACTAGTAGAAAACAAGAAAACATTTAGAGCCTCATGCTTTTGGATAAACAAGAAAAAAAAAAATCTTCGAATGATGATTATCGATCCAAGCAAACTTAAAATACAAAAGAAAAAACACAGACAAAACTTTTTTTTCTTTGTTTTTTTTCAAGTCAAGCACACTGAAAAAAATCATTTATCTCTCTAAATACATAAGTTAACATTCAAATGTGAATTAACACCTCAAGCAGTAGCGTAATCAAACTGTAATGTGGGAGGAGG